TAGTCTATCCAGTTTAAACCAATTATCCATCAAAGTTTCAGTACTGGGACAATTTCCCACACAGTTTTTATCACAGTGATTTGTTGGTTGTTTTCTTTTATCTTTAGTGGGCTAAATGTAACTGGAAAGTATGAGGAAAAAGATTTGTCAGCCATCAAACACCAGCCATCTTCTATGGTTTGGTTTGTTGAAGCAGCAGCTTATCTACCACTGAGAGGAAGTGGTTAAATAAGCTCATCAGGAAGGCAATTTCAGTCCTAGGATGGCCCCTGGACACAATGCAGGTGACGGAAAACAGAAAGACTAGCAAAAACAACAAAATTGTTGGACAATGTCACTAATTAACTGTGAGAAGCTACTACTTAGTAAACTCCCTTGTTAAAAGTGTTGCAACCTATTAAGTAGTGTTGTCATTGGACCTTCTCCCAGCAACTGTATATACATCATTGCTACATTGCTCCACAAAAATTGATGATGTATTTTTGCAGGTAAAAATTGCAATGTAAGCTTTGAAAAGGTTTACTATGTAATCTGCGGGTATGACATGTGATCTTATATCTGAGTTTCTTTCTAGTTATGAAATAAGATGTATAGCAATGGCACAGATTTTAATGAACATTATGAATTTTGACTGAACACTATGTGAACTTGACAAGATAGTTTTTTTTTTTTTTTTTTACAGCATGCCTTGACCATGACATTAAGCGAAGGGGGGTTAATGGCAACATCAAAACGTAGTACTGTGAAACAGCAGGATGTTGCATATTAAGACATTAAGAGAAAAAAGACTCATAATGCTGGCCTGTGCTTTAGCACTGAGCTCAGTGCCCAAACATTTGCTTCTAAGATACCACAATGCAATCTACTGCCACATCTGACATTCACATGAGGCCCGATCTTTGTTGATGACCTCAGAAAGCTCTTCATTCTATTTAAGAGATTTTCAGTAAAAGGACTGTAAGATTATAATTACAGGAAAGATTTATCAAATAAGCTAGAACTTGGTCTTATTTTGTTCAGTTTTCCTCTCATTTCCTCAGGATCTGGTCTTGGTTGATGTGAATTAGTATTTTTCTGGAAAGTAATGAAACAAAATGAACCCATAATTGACACTGACATAACCAAATAATTAGCAGTCTGAATTAGATCCCATATTTATAAGCGAATGTTATTAAAGCCTGAGTCATAAAATCATGTTTGCACTTTTTCTTAAAGAACATGAAGTCATCCAGGGCCCTGGAGTAGCTCAGCAGCTCCATACCATTTCCACTATATTTGTCAGCATATTGCTCACTTATAAAAGGAATTAGCTATAATTGCTAGATAATTGCAGTTATTCAGTTATTTGTTTACTCATTTACAACACAATAAAAGATACAAGTTCCTAGGCAAAGTAACCATGTAATAATATTTGACGATCTAAAATCTAATTTAATTCAGATTACTTTCCTAATGTTGTAACATTAAATATATCTGTGATTTAAACAATGAAATATAAGATGTTTAACACCAATAAGTGAGTTAAATAATGTAATGGTTTACATTTATTTATAATTCTAAATCATTGTTCTCTAACTTTCAAAATTATAGGGTGTAAGTAAGACAAGTAAGCCAAGATACCTAGAAATGTAAATGAATGTATGTAGATAAGTTTAATATTTTGTTCAATGTTTACAATAAAAGAAAAGAAAACAAGTTAGATGTTTTAGATCTTAAAATTTATGCACAACTGGCTTTGAAACACAGATTTTTCTTTTCAAGCCTTAAAGTGAAAAAAACGCACTGTAGTTAAATTAAATAGTGTACACACATTTTAAGGCAACAGTATATATAGTGCACCTCCAGTATCATTGTGTTCATAAGAGTAACAGTATGCCATGCATGTGATTTCTGAATAACACTGAAGAAGTAAAGCTTAATGTTTTGTAAAACTAAGGCACAAAATTTTAAGCTTCCAGACTCGATCTTTACCTGCTGTGTTGTTGGTCTCAGTCTGAAGCAATCCATTTTATGCAACCACCTACCTTTGAGGTTCTCAGACAACCAGGGTCACACTCTCTTTCAACATCTTAAAGCAAACTGAAAATATCTTTCTTAGCAGAGAGTTTGAGTTTATAAAAGGTTACTTTAATCAAACGAGTTATACTAACTCGCTCCAGTGATGTAATTTCTGTAATGCTTTATCAATAGGAGAAAAGTCATCATTTAAATAACTCCATTAATAAAACAATAATGTGTATCCAATGCTCATTCCAAAAAAAAAGAGAGAAAATTGAAAACAATTGAAGTTTGTTTCCAATTTTGAAGACATTTCACTTCCAATACAGGAAGCTTTTTCAATTCAAAACGTCCGGAATAGCATTGAAAACGTCGAAAACTTTGGACTCAATGCTATGCCTGAGTTTTTTAATTTAAAAAGCTTCCTGTATGGGAAGCGAAATGTCTCCAAACTTGGAAACAAAGTCCATTGGATTGTTTTTAATTTTCTTTTTTTGGAATGACTATGACCTGGATGACTGAGAATCATGTATCCAATGCTCTTATTTCTCACTCTGAATGGAACATATATGGTCTCTGTGTTCATCAATTAAAAAAAATTTTTTTAGCTAATATTAGACTGTCTCCTGTGCTATTTATGGTCAGCAGAACAAAAATAACACAAAAGCTCTTTTGGGAAATAATAAAGGGCATTAGGTTTTTGCCTTGAGGTTAGAATTTTTGCTTAGTGTCTTTCTGGTTGTTTGATGATTAATATAAGTAAAAGCTTGGGCGTAGCATCTGATCAGACAGGGAAACAGATCATGTGAAATCATAGCAATTACAACTTGTTGAAATAAATGGGTCCGGGCAAACTGCTTGCAATCTTTCTGCACACATCCACTTTTGGAAAAAAAGCAAAGATAAATATCTGGACTGCAAAGTTAACTGGTCAAGTTTTTTGCTGTATAGGTTTGCCTGGAGCAAAGGTGCGGCTGACTTGGACACCGACAAACAATAAAACATTAAAAAAATTATGCACTTTATCCATAAAGGAATCCAGGAGTACAGCAAATACACAAAATGAAACAAATATCTCCTTGGAGCTTATTTGAGCAGCAACTACAGTTTACTGCCTGGCTTGTTTATGCAGGGGGTATTTCTGGTAATACTCCCATGGCTATTCAGTCTCAACAATTTGGTGGTCTGTAGAGGGAACCACAATACAGCTAGTATGATAAAAAAAACAACCAAAAAGGATTGGATCTTGTAGAGTCAGATTCAATTGGTGTCTGTTGGCCCAAAGATGTTACTGATGGTTAATTTTTTGCCTCTTTGATTTAATGTTGATGTACTCTTAGAGTGATTTTGTTAGGCCTGCCTCACCTACAACATTCATCACTGTTGCATGTTTCGTTATTTCTGGTGGCTCTCAATATGGTTTGTGCCAGAGCCTTAGAAACAACTTGAGATACATTTCCAGGCAGCCAGATGTCAATGTTCTTTGGGTTTTTTTGGCTTCCCTTGAAATTTTTGGGCGATCTGGACATGGTGGCTTGCATTTTCAGATCTTCTGAATCTTCTTTTTATTGTCATTTCATTCAGTTTCCAAAAGATTGGTCGGATGAAAGTTAATTAATTGATAGGACAAACTAAAAAAACCCAAGAGAGACGATTATTGTTTCACAGAAAGCTGGGTTGGCCTTTAAACAGTGCTTAAGTAAATCATTACGGTATTTAAAAACCTCTTTAATTTACTCTGTCTGAAATTAAAATCTGTTTGATGATCTGAAACATTAAAGTTTGAATGAAAATCAAGAACAAAATAAATCTTTAAGAGTCAAAGCCCTATAAATAAGGGTAAACAATTTTATGTGGAAAAAGGGAACTTGGTGAAAGATAAAGAAGATGGAAGTTCAGGCTTTTAGAAAACAAATAACTGGCTTCTTTCCTCGAGCCCTTTGTTCATGTTTATGGATGTTTAAAATTTGAATGTAGGGTAGAAAGAACACCAGCAGGTTCCAGAAGTGGTTTAAAGGCTTTAAGATTGTAAAGCTGCTGTCAAACTCTCCTACACTTCTAGTGCTGAACCAATAAGGTAAACTGTAGAACCTGCAATTAAAACAAGACTCTTATTAAAGAATTAAACGTTTACAATGATTACAGATTTTGCATGTCTTCATTACAATAAAAGAACTAAGCTGCATGACAGATGAAATTGGAAACAAAACTTTCAAAGTCACCTTTATATATTTATATCCCACTTTCAAGAAAGATACCATAAATATTAACATCAATAAATAAACAGCCTTTGCATCACTGCCTGGACCTAATCAGGATCATTATACAGCTTGTAAAAAAAAAACAAGTGTGGGAAGTCACAAAAAAAGTGTTTCTCATTTCCGTCGCGCTCTGCAAAGTTAAACGGTAGAGATCAGAGAGGGTGTTTCATTGAAATATTAACACAGGTGATCAAAAAGTCTCTAAGGCATCCTCTGGAATAGCTCTGCTAACACTTCTTCAACCTGCAACAGGCAACCTGCTCTGTGTCTCGGACTGCTCAATGATTTAAACCAGCAGCCGTTAAAAAAAAAGAAAAGCCTTCCCTTAATTTGTCCCATGTGCCTGAAGAGAAGAAACAAGCATGAAATTGTCAAAAAAAAGTTGCCTCCTAGCTGGTGTGTCAGTAATGGGACTGCTTTGCGACAAAATGATTCATATCAAGGAGAGATAGCAAAGGTCATTGGGTGGAACTGAGAATTTTTTTTCTTTAAGTTTTTCCAGGTGTTTGTGGCCAAGAAAGGGAAAAAAATAGTACACTTCTTTGAGAGAAGATTACTAGAATTAGATGGTAACTGGTGCAAACTTTTTTATTTGTTAGAAATCAAGATGAATGAGCCCAGTGACCCCCATCCCCCCACCTACCTTCTTCTTTTATGCCCCTAGACGCTGGCCTGCACAGGATAAAATGCAGGACTGCTCAGCCAGTACCGGCACATTGAAGATGACTGACTGACTGCACACAGCAGAGCGTGAGGCCGGTAGATTACTGCTTTGCTGCCCTATGCTAGCTCTCTCACACACTCACTGCCTGCTACTCACTCTGACACACACACACCCACTGCCTCCCTCTCTCACTGTCGCAGACTTACACTGGGTCACTCCCTCCCATACTTGCTCCCTCTCCATTTCTCGCAGTGTCATACACACACACTCCCGGGTATACACACACCGACACACACACAGAGTCAGTCATCAACAACTCTCATTCAACTCTCTCTCAGCCACGGGTGAGCAGCTCAGACAGGCAACTTGTTTCTATCCAGCTGGAAAGAGCAGAGCATCGCAAGGTGCACACACTCACCCTAACATCAAGACCAAGACTCATTAAATTAGACTAAACTCAAAAAACTTGCACTCATGCTTATCCTTAAACATCCTAGGACTTTGTCCATTGAGCAGTGAGGAAGACATCGAGGAGCAAGAAGGAGCTGTATCAAGGATGGACTTAAGAGAGTGGAGCATGTTTATGGAGCAGAACAAGTGAGTTCAAAGCAAAAGATGACAACCAGAGAGAGACTTTGGCAATTTTCACTCCATGGGAACGTCCTGCTTTTTAACTAAAAGTGGAGACTATCAGTGACAACCAGAGGATCTGCTGTGATTGCCATTTCCATCCCTTCCATCTGCAAGACTCCCACCCTCCGCACTGATATTGCTTGATCATCAGCATGTCTACAGCTTGCACAAGGTGCACCTTGGGAGCCTGACCCACCATGTACAGATGGACGTCATTTGCACTTCATCTGTGCCCTAAGCTTAACTTCAGATCCACCACCGCTGCAACCTCGACTAGAACGTTCGTCCCCCTTCCTCCTGCATCCTCCTTTACCCTGATATGGCTCTCCCTGCTCCTATTCACCACTGGCAGGGCCACAGGGGCCTGTCCTCCTAGAGCAGGGCATGAGCCCCTTCAGGGAGTGGAAAGCGGCATAAACTGTTCATGGACTTTGGAAAGGCACACGCGTAGTTACAATCACCTGGAGGGTGACGTCAGACTCCGGCGGCTTTATTCAGCCAACAAGTTCTTCCTCTGCATTGACAAATCCGGAAAAGTGGATGGCACTCGGCGAAAAAACTATGCTGATAGTAAGTAGCTGTTCTGTTCCTGAAAAAAAAAAAAAAACAAGGCTTATTATATCTTGTGACATCTCCACTTTTATGACCGAACTTTGTCATCTGATCAATTTTATAGTGCATGGGAATCTCCAAAGGTTACATTACCAGAGTGCTATTTCTGTTGTTTTGAATCATGAGAGGCGTTGCTAAGTAGGAACGGAATACCCTAGTGTGGAGATAGACTAATGGGAGAGCAGGCACTGAGGAAAGACATTGAGCATCAGTTGGTGCTGCATATTAGGGTTGGAAAAAAGCCTCTGTATCATTGCCAATTAACTTGTCAGAGGTGTGTAGAAGGTGCACCAGGCCTTAAGTAAGCTGGTATTAACTACAGCAGGGGTGATGTTTCAAGAAAAGCAAACACAGATTAGATTTTGTTGTTCACAGGTTATCCTCTTAGTAATCATAATACTTTTAGTCTGTGGGGTTAATTTCCATTAGAAAAACATTTCTCTAAATGCATACACTGCAAATCTAATATATCTTATAAGAAACAGCTTACACTTGGAAACACTGGACGTCAGCAAATTTAATGTACAGTTTATTACCTGTGCAAAAAAATATAACATAGTCAATAAATCCTAATTCCAGGTCAGTTTACGTCTTTACCTGTTTGCCCTTTATTTTTTTTACCTTATCATTTTGTTCTTCTCTAGTCCCTTGTTACTTTTATATTCTGTTCTATAATCATGTATGGGTAATTTCAATATCTAACATTCTGATTTTATAGTTAGATATTTGGGATAAAACTAAATATGTAATTCAAAGAAATGCTTTAATTTGACATACACTTCAACATAGAGGTGTAAGATTATGTTACATCCTTTTCCTATAGACTGTAATACTCATTATTATAGTTGAGTTTTAAAATAGATAATATATGCTAGAATATTACTTCTGACCAAACTCTTGTTGGTAAGCAGTATCTGCTGTTCTCATATAACTATGTTCTCATTTAATAGAAAGTCTTTAGATAATTGGATATTGAAATGGTAAAAAAAACAAACATTTGGTGCCATGTTGGTTTCTTTTCTTCGAAACATCCAGTCGAGGACTATCTGCTGAAACCTAATCAAAACTAGAAAACGCTGATCTGGCCAGGATCTGACATCCCTCTAACTTAGTTATAGAATGGCTTAAAAGAAAAGACAGGCCTGTTTGTTTTGCTTGTCCCCTGATTTAAACTAGTACTTGGAAATGTATGATGAAATTTGTATATATTAATGGATGTGCTCCTCTTTGAATATATTTCATTTACAGAAGACTTTGTATTGCACCCTGACTCCATAATACCACTTCCATTATTTGTTGTGCTGTTCCTGTGATGAGCAAGTTGATTCTTCTGGAATATCCCTGATCAAACCAAACAATTCGAAGTTGATGATACTGAGTGCCACAAAATATTCCTTACATTACATTGCCGTAAATGACAATATGCTGCAAGCTGTTCCTCTGTATTTTGCCTATTAAAAGCTGAACAAAGCCCAAAGAACGAAAATTGGCCGTGATCTGACCTCCCTCTCCATTAGTCACATGCTTACCGAATGACTGGATAGCTTTTAGAGACATATTTTGCCTTTGACATTAATATTTATGTATTTGGTTGTTATTACCTTTTTTATACAAGTAGCTGAGTCAGACTTTTTCCATTTAGCTATTGAGGGAAAAGCAGCTGCTTGGTTGGGATGACAGGTCAGTCAGTCTGCTTCCACTGCTTCCCTGAGCAGACTGGCAGATATTTATTTAACTGTCATTAACAGTCACCTGGCAAAGTTTTTAAAAATCCACTTATAATTGCCTAAACTCAAGCTAGGATTAATTATCCCCATATTGATTTTTGATTTGAATGTGAAATTAATCATTCATAAACTTTTGTCAGCTGGTGCAGGAAATGAATCTACCAAGTGCTGAATAAATCTGATCGTTTTACAGAAGTTGTTGTTAGGAGACGAAAGAAATTTGCCATAAAAAAAAAAATAGGGAAAATGGTGATTTAAAATTCATGGCTTTTGCTTCCAAAAAGTATTTTGCACTTCAGAGATGGTATTTAGCAGAAACCCTTTTCTGCTTATATGCAATTTCCTTCTACGTTTTATCCATCATCCATTCAGTAACTTTACTGGAAAAAATTAATTCTGTGCTCACACAGTTAGGGTGTGTATCTGCATCGTGACCTGAACACAGTGCAAAACAAGCAGTCATCTATGCTTTGCTTAAAATTTAACAAAATAGATCATGAGGTTAGTGTGCTGTGCCTTCCATTGAGATATATATCTGGTTTGAGAGAGATAGGGAGGTTTTTTAACCCACGACAGATTGAAGTGTCACTGTTTAGCGGGCTTCGGCTTGCCCTCAAACTCTTGTCGCCACCGCTACATTACCCTCTCACCTCCACCCCACTCAGTTTTTCCAGCTCCAACTCCCAGTGCCCTCTCAGGTGCAAAAACAGTTGGAATTAGTCAACAGGCTCTCTGGTAATTGAGGGTGGAAAATATTGTATCAATCCCAAGGGAGCTGGGGCATGGAACAGCTGAGGAAGAGGCAAGAGGGGAGGAAGGCGAACTTGGATGGAGGGATTAAAGACTTGGACACAGTTAAAGAGAAATGCCAAACTTGTTTGGCACAGGAGTGTGTGTTTGTCTAATGCTCTTTAGTTTAACTCTAGCAAAAACTGGCACATAATTGTGTTCATCTTGCACTTTAGTAGTTTATTAGAATTTCAATGAATCCCCTTAAAGTAGGTAGAGAGCAGAGCGTGGAAACTCCTTTTCAAAGTGATGACATTTTAGTACCGACCCGCCACCCCCCACCCCTACCAATCTGCGTCCCACACACACACACAGACATTCACAGACAAAAAAACTAAAATGGGGAGGACAGGCTAAGATTTGTCAAATCTCCAAAGTTTTCCAAGAAAAATTTTCTGCCTCCACATGTGGAAACACGAACTCCTCTGATAACCATTTGCGAAGTTTATCAGAATTAGGGCAGCTGTTTACTAACTTATTGTAAAGTTGTTATTAATAGAACAAAAATGATAAAATCCTGAAAGACTAAAAATAAATCATAGTATTGTCATAAACCACTTTATTCTACAAGTTACGAAAATAGATATTTAGAGGGAACAACGTAAAGTTGTTTCAGGGGCCAAATGGGAGGACTCCATGTTTTCTTTTAATCTATAGCTAAGACGAAACAGGGGAAAAACACACCTAAGTGTTTAGAAAAGCAGCAGAGGCAGGTACACATCATATCCTGTCCGGGGCCATCGGTCACAGGCTGCTAATTAGGCTGAGTTACAGGACAGCAGCTGTGCTGGCACGCCCGGCAACTGCCTCATGATCAATTACAACAGAGAATGCTGAGTCAAGTTCTACTGACAGATGAAGCTATGTCATTCTACTTAGCTTGTTTTTATTCATTCCCCTTTCTCCTGTTTCGCTCCACAGTTCTGTTTCAGGCAGATTACAGACTAAGTTTGTAATGAGATCTGAAGGGGTTTGGGTGTAAAGACCTAGTTACATCAGAAGCAAAGAAAGAAGGTCACTCATCTAGGGCATCTGGGGAGAATTTCACTTCAAAACTAAGATTGAATTTTTTTTTCTAATAATAAAATAACGATGTCTTAATCTGATGTTTTGAGGCTGGTTGCGCAACAATAAAAATAATGGTAATGTAGATCTATCTAAACAGTCTGACAAGAGATGAATGAACATTTGCATATCAACACCAGAAAAAAAAAAAAAAAGATTCTGTGTAAATACTGGATAAAACTGGTAAGATATTCCCATTATTCAACAAGTGTCGTACAATGTGGCCTTAAGTACTCGGTGATTGAAGGCATGGATGAGGATTCTGTGGTGGATCATATGTCAAAAGCTTGTGGTTCCCTCCTCTTCCAAAGTTCTCGATGCTGGAAAATGCCTCCTCCATTAATTTTGTATTTCACCTAGAGAGGCAGCAAAGTGCCAGGATGCACCTAGTCAGCAGGAAATCTCCATAACAGGAAGAGGTCTCGGCCAGCTTTAACACTGCAAACGATATTTACAGTTTGTTGGTGGGTTCTCGTTGCTGCATGTTTCATAATAAAAAAAAACAGTACCTACTACAGAATTAAACTTAATTTTCCCATCCAGCTGATGTTTTGTGACCAAAGCATCTGTTTTCAGACCCTTTTGCTCCTTCAGGACACACCATCTCTGAAAAGAATCCCCTAAATACAAACACACGGCTCCGTTCTCCTTCACTGTCTCTCCTCTTTTCAAATACATAGAAAAAAAATATTTATTTTTTGGTTAGGTTTGTCAGGATTCTTTTAGGCCATTGATGCTGGAGTTTACACAAAACAGTAAACAAATACCTAAAAAAAAAAAAAAAAAAAAAAAAAAAAAGGAGTAGAAAGGCATATTTCTTTCTGCATTGGCGTAATGGAGGACCGCTAGCCAAACAGCGCATGAGTTATGCTTGGAGCCTATGTAAATAATCAAAATGATTAATTGACAAACAAGTGGCCAATCCGCTTACAGTAGGCAATGTAGATTGGCTAATGTTTTTTAGGCCCCACCACGGTCAAGTTTATGGGTTAAAACATTTTTTGGGGGGGGAACCATAAGTGCAAGAATGCCATCCATCAATGAAGTCATTTTAGATTAATCTGGACACTTAATTTCTGAGAAAATTCATACCTTTAAGTTTGGACTTAGACTTGGACTTTTGATGTGTATCCTGCTTTTTTCCCCCTCTTAATTCTAAGAGTTGAGACCAACTACTTAAAACTGCATTAAAATAAAAATAAAAAAAAGGATCTTCTCAAATATATTTTCCTAAATGTAGGGGACACGGACTGCCAACATTTGACCATTTTAACTTATACCACGCAACCTCTGTTTCCCATTAAATACTGAAAAATTAAAAGATGTGAATCCAAATGTAACGTTGCAACTTTGGACACACTTTGCAAAATAGGCTGC